AGCCCTCCCCACCTGCACGAAATAAATAAATAAATAAATAAAACGGACACCTCTGGTAGGAGATGGGTAAAACACCTGCGCCACGAGCAGGATCTTGGGCTCTAGATTTCTCCGGGACAATTCTTTTTTCTAGTGTTAGTGCCAGTGCGCGCCAGTCCCGTGCCCAGTAAGTTTTGTCCGTAAAATTCGTCCCGGAAAAATAAAAATAAAACAGACAGCACAAGGGAGGGATGGGAGGACGGCGCGCCGCAAAAACGGCTTCTGTGAGAAAACGCAGCGCTACCTAGATATGTGCCAGCACCCGAGGGTTTTACCAAGCTGCCACCCACTTCACGCACACTGCGCAAAAGGCCACACCAACCAACCAACTGTTTCCGGGCCCGAGTGCGCGAAGTGCGGGACCAGCCAACCAGCCACGCTGCTCGCAACATGCGAACAAACAAAGGGCTCCAGGCCCCAAATGACGTGTGAGTGTTAGAGTTGTTTGGTATTGCTAAAAATCTCTCTCTCAACATGCGTGTCGCGCACTCACTCATTCAGAGAGAGAGAGAGAGTTTGTTGCTCATTCATGACCGGTCTCAATGCCCCACCCCCCTGCGCGCGGGCCTTCTAGGCCCGCGGGTAGTCTCCCCCCATTCCCAGGGCCTCCAGGGCTCGCACCTCAACCTCTCACAGACCAGCGCACAGCGCCATCCGACGTATCCTTCTCAATACATGTAACAAGGGCTGTGATACAACTGAGAGAGATGATGGGATCTTCACCAAACGCAACAAGTTCAACCTGCTTCTCCACGAGACATTCGGCGGCGGCTTCTCGCCGCCAGCAGTTGCAAAGATCAACCGCCTTGCGCGCAAGGCTCAACGCTCGGGCGTTGACCGCACCGCGTACCCTCCCCACTCCCGCCTCTCATTTGTGTCACACCACGCGGAACGCATCTCCATCGCTTCGGTGAAGGGGGTGAACCGTGCCATCCTCGATCGCCGTGCAAAGCTCGCTTCCGAGCTCTCACGCCGCGCGTAGGGCCCTTAGGGGCCTAGAGAACACAACCCCCTCTCTCTTTTCTCCCAGTAAGCTATAAGTACGTACAACTGTAGCACGAAGACATCCTTTTGGAAGTGTCGCGCCAGCGAGCTAAAGGCCGGGAACCATAACTCCTCCAACCATGGGCCAGCCACAAGCCCTCCTTGCGGCGAGCACGGTGTGGCTCTCTGGCTGGTCCCTGGGCCTCTTTGCAGCGGCGTTGTGGGAGGGCATCTGCGCGCACAGCGCCTACGACCTGCGGCGCTCAACGCCGGACTGCCTCCGCCATAAGGGGAGCGAGGTGTGTGCAGAGTTTTCTGTCGCGTGGTGCGCGGCGCCAGCGAGCATCCTGAGCCTCTCACCGCGCTGGCTCGGCGACGCGGCCGGCATGGGAGGCCCGCTGCTCACCTGGCTGCCGCTCCTGCTCGGCTCCTCCTCCGGGGGCGGCGGCGGCCGCAGCGAGGGAGAGGTGCGTGAGGCGCTGCGCCTGGCGCTGACGTGGTACCTCGCGCTGATTGGGCCGGTGCGGCACGCACACCGGCTGATGCCCGCCCGGTGGGACCCGTCGGGCCACATCTTTGTCTACGGCGCCCAACTCGCGCCGTACGCGCACGCGCCTCTAGCGCACCTCTCCCTTCCGGTGAGAGGATGGCTGGCCGGCTGGGCGGCGGTGCTCCTCTACCTCTCTGTCCAGACGGCGGCCTTCTTCCACACCCCTGGCGAGACCGCCGCGGGCTTCGCCCTCGTCGCCGCCCTGTGGCTTGCTTGCCCAGGCTGCGGCGCCAACCGCCGCAGAGCCAGACACCGAGCCCGGCAGCGGGGTTTGCGCCTGCTCCTCCCCCGCACGGGGAACTTCGCGAAGAGAGTCCGGCCCGGGCTGGCCCGTCGGGAGCGCGCGGCCCTCCCCAACAAACGGCCGGGGGTCTTGGCAGGCTCCAAACCGCCCGCCCCCGTGAAATGGGCAGCCCCCCCCCC